GCCCTGATATCACATAATGCTTTGGCAAAATTGGCGCTCCCAATAGTGCAAGGGATGGTGAAAGCGCCGGGATCTTCCAATTTAGGAGCCATTGAATGCACAATAGCACTCACTTAATGAGTCATCTTGATGGTTTCACAATTCATTGATCTTTTCTTGGTTACCAAATCTTTCATGAATTTTGCATATCTCGGAATTTGCTCCAATGCCTCAACCAATGACACATTTATGGATAAACTTTTCATCATATGAATAAACGTTTTGAACTGGTTCTCACTGTTTTGCTTAAGCCTTTAGGGTATGGAGGAGGAGCCCTTGGCATTGGTGCATTAGCCTTTTGCACCACCGGTTCCGGCATGTCAATCACGTGTTCCCTAGACGGGTTCACCTCTTCTTACGTCTCCTCCACACTTTCATCCATATCAATTCTCACTTCTTCATTAGCTTGAACCACATTGCTTGGGATTTCATCCTCTTGAACTACAACATCTTCATCCACAATCCTTCTTTGATGTGAGGTGGTTGCATCTCTACCGTTTCCACTTCTAGTAGTCACGACCATAGCATATCCCGTATTATTCCCACCCTTTGAGTTTACCACCGTATCACTAGGTAGTGCTCCCTTAGGATGACTGTTCAAAGATTGTGAGATTTGGCCTAATTGAACCTCTAAATTCCGAATAGAAGTGTTGTGCGAGGCTATTTGAGCATCGGAGTCGGCATTCTTCTCCATCATCTGCTTAAACATGTTTTCAATTCTACCCATCTCATTGAAAGAAGAGCTCGGGCCTTGAGAAGGATAGGGAGGTGAATTGCTTGGTTGTTGGAACATCGGAGGCCTTTGAAAATTCGGCCCCGATTATTGTTGTTGTTCCACCCTCCTTGATTATTGCCTCCCCAGTTGCCTTGATTGTTTCCCCAATTGCCTTGATTACCCCAATTGCCTTGATTTCCTTGATTGTTCCAATTGCTTTGATTAGAATACCACCACTCCAATTGCCTTGGTGATTTTGGTTGTTCCAATTACCTTGGTGATTTTGGTTGTTCCAATTACCTTGGTTCCCTTGTGACCTCCGTTGTTATTGATTTGCCCTTGAGCATTATTTTTTTGACCTTGATAATTATTGACATATTGAACTTCTTCATCTTGCTCATTGAATGAATCACCTTGATCATAACCACTATCATCTTGCATAAATTGCTCCGGATTGTTTTGTATTTTTTGACCTTGTTGCCGTCTTTTGTTTATCATCATATTCACACCTTCCATTGCATGCACTTGTTTCGGCCCTTGAACTTGTTGAAGCTGAGCCTTAGCCAATTGGTTCATGGTAGTTGTTAACTCGGCTATAGCTTGCCCGTGGTCATGTAGCTCCTTGTGTAGGTGAATAACATTAAGGTCACCTTGTGGCACATTGGATCTACTTTGCCACGCCAAAGAGGTATCCGCCATCTCATCAAGAATTTCACAAGCTTCGGCATATGGCGTGTTCATGAAGTTACCCCCGGCAAGTTGGTTAACCACACATTGATTAGTTGTGTTGACCCCCCTATAGAAGGTCTGTCGGATCATGGCTTCAGTCATATCATTGTTCGGTCACTCTTTAACCATGGTACGATATCTTTCCCAAATCTCGTGAAATGGCTCACTGGGTTCTTGCTTGAAGGCAAGAATCTCATCCCGAAGCGTTACCATATGTCCCGGAGAGAAGAATTTGGAAATGAAATTTTCTGCCAACTCATCCCAAGTAGTGATGGAATGGTTGGGCAACCTTTCTATCCAGTCCAATGCTTTTCCCCGCAGAGAAAAGGGAAATAGCCTCAACCTCAGTGCGTCCTCAGAAACATTTGTTTGCTTTCTCCCCCAACAAGTATCGACAAACCCCTTGAGATTCTTGTAGGCATTTTGATTTGGAGCCCCAGTGAAGAAACCCTGTTGTTTAAGTAGTGTAAGCATCACGTTGGTGATTGGAAGTTGCCCGCCCTAATGTGGGGCGGGACTATAGCAGTTGCATAACCCCTGTTTGGAAATTGTCGGTGGGCTGCCGCTCTTGGTGGAGGTGGGGGGAGGTACGGGCACATTATCGTGAGGCGGGCGGCCTCGTCTATTAGCTTGAGGTACAATAGGAACCTCTTCCATGGCATCATCGTCCACGTCCTCCCCCAAGTGCACATTTTCGATGGGCTCGTTGTTGAGAACCATTTTCGTACCTAGAATCAATTCAAACACAAATTAGTAACTCGGAAGGAAAGAAAGACAAAACACACAAAAACCTAGATATATAGCTAAATCCGTTTAACTCCCTGGCAACGGTGCCGAAAATTGATCTCCGCCAAATCCACACCATAATTAAGTAGCGAGGCGGTCGATGCAATAATAACCCAACAAAGGTCGGGATCGAATCCACAGGGGGTTAGAATATGGGATTAGGTGTATATCTAAGTTGATTGCAAGTTTTGGCTTAAATTATAATTCCACAATGCTGATTGGTGTATTACTTCTACATTACTCTATTGATTGCAAAGATAAAACTAAAGAACAATAATTTTGGTTTTGAGTTGTTTTCAATTGATAAAGTGATCTAGGGTCATGACTTCCACCTAGGTGGCTACCTAACGGGTTGTAAACTATAGGACAAGTTTGATTTACCGGGTTCGTGGTGTAGCAAACACACGCAATTGCTCACTCTATACCTCTCGGTAGTTTGAGTGATTTTGCCCGATTTGGCTTTCTCAAGCCCAAATGGGTATTTGCACAAATCAAGTGATATATGCTCAAAGTCGGGTCTTACTATCTCTATATTTGACCCATTAATTGGGGCTATCAATTTCTTGAATTCACCCAAATTCCTTGCTAGCCAAGTTTTTCTAAACCTAGTCTCCCTTTCTCAAGCAAAGACTAGGTCAAAAAGGCATGAATCAATGTTTGCAACCATTAATTCTATCATTTAAGCATAAACAAGGCTAGATATCACTAACCTAATCACAAACAAGCCCTAAAATTAAATATCCATTAAGTACCCACACTAGGGTTGGGTCACAACTCTAGCTAAAGATTTAGCTACTCATAGAAACTGAAGAAATACAAGAGGAAATTAAGGTAGAATGCATAATCATAGATTAAACAAAGAAAAAGTACTAATGTTAAGAAGTCAAGCTAATACAAATTTACTCAAAGAAGTAAAGAAAAACGTTCAGGTGCACCTTTGCAAACTAAACTTAACCAAAAAAAAATTGTATTTATACTAAGCTGAAAGTATCTAACAAAAATGCCCCTACGGAGGTTACGGCCGCATAATTCTGGTGCGGACCGCAAAATGGGCTTCTGCGGCCGCACAATTCTAGTGCGGTCTGCAGTCTTGGGAAATTGGGCTTGAACTCTTCAGGCTTTGCGGTCCCCATAAAAGTAGGCGCGGCCACACTAAGGATTATGCGGCCACACAAAAGTGATGCGGTCTGCACTCCTTCCTTTTCCAACTCTCTGAACCTTCAGTCCTGCAGTCCGCATAAAAGTGGATGCGACCGCACTTGATCTCTTGCGGCCGCACAATTCCAGTGCGGTCCGCACTCCATGAGCTGTCCAAAACATACTCTCTGAATCTTCTTGTGCAGCCGCACTAGAATTGTGCAGTCGGCACTGCTATCTCATTAGCCCTGTTTTAGTTCTTGTTCACTTTAGACTCCTTTATGAGTTGATTTTTGGGTTTTTTGGCTCGTCTCCCAATTCCTGCAAGTAAGAACATTTTGTTAGCTTACGAGAATAAGCGGTCAAAATCCCTACTTATCAGCCATCCCCGTCTTTGGTTCCACGTGTCCTTTCTTTAGATGACCACGTGTCATATCATATTTTATCCTATACAAATTTTGGGATCATTTTCTGCTATCGCTCGTACCAAACGCGCCCTTAGTGCTCACTAGAGTACATTAAGATTTCCATTGTATGAACACCGATCGAAATTAACCTCCATTCACGCCTCTACTCCATTAATATTTTCATCACACGTCAAAGGGCAACTTGTTATGAGCAAATGAAATAAGCATCTGGCTATTAGTTACTTACAGGGGAAGATGACCAGGAACGAAGCTAAACTATTTGGTTGGGCTCGGAAAAGCTTAGTAACTTTTGATTAAACTCTATATTTATATTAAAAAATTTATTAAATATATATAAATATTTAACTGCAAACCGAGTAATTGAAACGAACTATATAAGTTCATGACAAATTCATAATCTATAAACTTTCAATCTTTGCTCCGCCTCTATAACGACTGCCAATAATAACGTCGTCTAGGGACTCAATTTGATGACATAAAAGAGGGCTCTCCCTAGTTAAAAGAATGATGTAAAAAGAGTTGAAGGAGCGAATGAGATATATTTAAATATAACAATAGCTTATGTGAGCACGTAATTTTTGCCCGGCGTGTAAAATCGCTCCTAAACAAATAGTCTTAATAACTCTTCAAAATTTTAGGAATTTTTAGTTTTATGCGTTTGACATTTATTTTCATTTTTAGCATAGTAGCATTTCAAATCACGAAAATAATCAAAAAGATTTTCTCTTTTGCTCTTTGCATTCCTAGAATTTTTACTCACATTGTTAACACTTAGTTTGCATTATTAAAATACAAAAAATGTTAGAATTTGTTTTGCCTTATTTTGCATTATTTAGTTTTAATTAATGAGTTAATTAGTTAAATATTTGTTCAATTAGAAAATCGGTTTTAGGCAAATTTTGCAAAATTTTCAGTTCGAATTAGGTGGGTTACTTTGGATTTTTAAACAAGGAAGAAATTGGTTGCCTTTTTAAGGAATTGGGCCAAAGACGCGGCCCAAATGCTTACACCCCATCCGCACAAGCCCAAAATTCTCGATCAAATCCGGTTCCCCCTCCTTAACCAAACGACCACGTTTTGACCTCCCAGATCCCAATTGTTGATCTTCTTTCATCCAACGGCTCGCAACAGGCCTTCCCTTTCCCTTAAAACTGTCTCAAAGACCCCCCAAACACTAGAGACCCCTCACAGACTCGTCTCTATCACCTTTCTCTCACCCTAGCCGTCCACCACCGCCAGAAATCGCCCACGGCGATGGCACCCTCTAAATAACCCCAAATCTCACCCTACAATCCCCGTCTTTTCCCCATCCCATATCTCCTCTCAATTTCCTTCAAAATACCATAGATTTTCCTAATTTTCCAATATGAGAAATTTCAAAACCTAATTTTATTTCTCTTCAATTTCTTTAATGATTCTTAATCGTTTTGACTTGAAACTGACATTGGTTAATTGCTCTTGTCAAGAGAAACCAATTAATTTATGTTTTATCTCATTTCGGAACCATCGAAATCCGGCCAAACCTCGCTGAAAATCGCTTCAATTGCTTCGTCTTTCTTTCAATAGGTATACCCTTGTCTCATTCTATCGTATTTTTATTTTTTGTTGTTGTTAGTGTTGGTTAAAAACAGTTTGTAGTCATTACGGCATTTAATCAAGAATGTTTCTATTTGATTAATTTACTTTTAAGCAGAATAGTGTAGTTCATAATTAATTTTTTGCTTTGCATCCATGGCTTGTTAGTTACTTGGTTATATGCTTAGAGTAAATAATTAAGTTGCATGATTAAGCAGTTCAATTACAAGATAATTATTCTAATTGCATAAATTTAAGTTAATTGGTCCATATTTAATTGGGAATTGAAGCAGGTTACTGATTCAGTTTTTGCATATTGTTTGTTTGAGTCTGTCTACTCTTTTGGTGTGGTTCATTTGTAATTAACAGAAGTTTAAGGGGGTCAAAGGAATATGAAAATTAGGGACCTTAAGTGGTTATGTAGGGAGTTTCTAGAAGGGATTAAAATGCAATAAAATAATTGAATTAGGTCAAATTTGAGGTAAAAGGGGTAATTTCAGAAGTTAAAGGGGGCTAGAAAAGTGAGAAGGAATATATGAATGGACAGTTGTCCAATTGTGTAACGACCCGACCGGTCGTTTGCCTTTTTAGAATCCCGTTCTCCCAAATAACACTCTCCATGCTTGCTTTAACTAATTTACAACCTGCAGGGATGGTTGGTTCGGGATTTGGAAGAGTTTGGATTGAAATATGCACAATTGACTCTTTTGGATTTTCTTAAAAGGCTAAGTTTGACTTTGGTCAATATTTTGAGCAAACGGGTCCAAATTCGTGTTTTGACGGTTCCGGAGGGTCCTTAGGAAAATATAATACCTGGGTGTATGCCCGGAATCGAATTCCGAGGTCCCTAGCCCGAGTAATGAAATTTTATTTGAAATTGTTAAACTGAAATTCTATGGATTTAAAGAAACTAATTAATGATTGATCACGTTGGTATTGGGCTCGTATGTTGGTTCCGAAGCCCAGTACAGGTCCAATATAATATTTAAGACTTGCCCGCAAAATTTGGTCTCAATCCGGGTAGTTTAAGGGCGTTATGGCCCGTTAGAGAAAAATTAAGAACTTGAAGTTCATAAGTTTGATTCAATTGGTTTTAGAAGGTGCTTCTTAGATTTAGCATTGTTTCGGGCGTTCCGAAGGTTCAAGTAGGTCTGTTTCATGATTTCAGACTTGTCGGTATGTTCGAGCGGGGCCCGGGAACCCAATCGTCAATCGGATGAGGTTCGAGTGAAGTGGAAAATTTTTAGAAGTGCTGAAGCTGCTGCTTCTGTCATAACCGCACCTGCGGTTGGTGGACCGCAGGTGTGAAACCGCAGATGCGGTCCATCTATCGCAGATGCGGCCCAGAGCTGGCCAGGCCAAACCGCAGAAGCGGCTCCCTAGCCGCAGAAGCGGCTACGCAGATGCGACTTCAAGACCTCAGAAGCGGTCCCAGCCCTTTTAGCCAATTTCGCAGGTGCGATCCGTTCTCGCAGATGCGGTCCCCTGACCGCAGAAGCGAAAACCGCTGGGGCAGTGAGCTTCATTTAATTCGAGCTCCAGCCATTTTTGACCATTTGGCACACGGGTATTGAGCGATTTTGGAGCTCTGAGAAGGGATTTTCACATAGCATCGTGAGGTAAGTTCATCCCCCTTATTTCTAAGTTTAACACTCGAGTTTTGGGTAGATTAACACCTAAAGATTTGAAGAAATCAAGGGGTTAGAGCTAGACCTAGGGTTTTAATAAAACTTAGATTTTACCACAAAATTTGTTATGAAATGAACTAGAAAAAATGTATTAATGATCCTTAGGTTATAGAGAACAACTTCCTTCGAAAATTTTTGGAATCCGGGCACGTGGGCCCGGGGTCGGGTTTTAAGAAACTTGTGGTAAGGGTTGGGAAATTGCTTAAATAGCTAGAATACAATCTTGTGAACTTATATTGATTAGTTCCTACCTCATTTAACTAGTTTTGGATCGTTCGGCTCCGAATTGAGAGTTTGGGCTCGTTGTTGGCATTGGAAGTGCACTTTGGAGCGAGGTGAGTCTCCTTTTTAACCCTGTAAGAGGGAATTGTCCCCATAGGCATAATAATTGAGTAGTTTGCTACTAAATGTGGGGGCTACGTACGCACTAGGTGGCGAGAGGCCGTGCGTAGCTACTACTATGTTAATTATCCGGGTAGACTAGGACTCATATCATGCTTTATTGGCGATTGTCTCTATATTTTTTCCTGCTAATGTGACCACTTAGGATATGCTAGAGTCAGGGAAAGGAAAAATAAGCGAGTGTATATGCTTGTAGATACTTGTAGGAATTTATTTGGAAATAAATGCACACTCATGTGCTTTCTTGATATAAATTGATATTTGTGGATCGGGCCGATCGCCTCGGTAGAAATAGATGCATCTATGGTTCGCGCCATTCGACCCTCTAGCAGTGCACAGTTTATTTTCTGTTGGATCGGGCCGTCGACCTCGGCATAATGTGCGCATGATACTTATGTGAAACTTCATCTATGACTTGTCCTATTAAATAATTGAAATGTGATTGGTTGACTGGAAAGCTGTTTAGAACTTGACTTATTATCTTTTGCTATACACAGTTGATTTTCTGTGACTCCCATGCTTAGCATAAAAATTTATTATATTATTTGACCCTAGTGGTATCAAGTCGACCTCTCGTCTCTACTTCTTCGAGATTAGATGGGATACTCATTGGGTACATTTTGTTTATATACTCATACTACGCTTCTGTACTTAATTGTACAGGATCTAAGGCAGGTACATCTGGCTATCAGTTTGGTGCGCACCCCTGATTCATAGCTTGAGACTTCCACGGTGATCTGCCCCTTCCTGAGACGTTCAACAACTTGATGGAGTCTTTTCTTTACATTTGCTGTCTATTCTATCTCAGATAGTAGGATAGTTTTGTTATTTTGTACATTCTACTAGTTGCCCATTACTTGTGACACCAGGTCTTGGCACACACGTTAGCAGACTATCATTTTGGAGTTGTATAACTATTTTGGCATATTATTGTTCATTTCTGATTTGACTTGAGCTTTATGAATTTCTATACTTACCTTGGGTAAAAATAAAATTGAGAACTAAATTATATTTTTTGGGTTGGCTTGCCCGATAATGGTGTTGGGCGCCATCATGATCTATTTACGGAAATGGGTCGTGGCAAATTGAGTTTTAAAAAGATGTTTTTTTCCTATTTTTTGGGGACTGACAGATTCCCAAAAATAGCTCTCATTTTTTTCTGCATAAAAACTCATTTACACTCTTAGTTTTTAGGCATCTTTCATCTTGGAATTCTTCAGAAAAACACCCTAATCCCTGCATTCCTTCAGAGAACACACACTCATTTTCTGGGCATTGTATTGATTTTTGCTGCAATACTTCACGTTTTCTGGGATTTTTGAGTTGTTTGTTGGCTGGAGATTGAAGTTGCTCTGTGCTAAACCTGCTTTTGCTGAGATTCCTATCATTTTTCTTCAAACCTTTATTTGGTTATGGTTTCATATTTACTTGCTGATTAAGGTACGAATCCTGTTTTCAAATATATGGATGTTATTTTGATATAATGATGTTAAGTTTGCTGTAATCAGTTATCTCTGTGTGTAAAATGCCTCCATGTTAAATGAAAACTTGATTTGGTTTCAGCTACCTCTATATGTGAAGTACAACATAGAACCATGTATAAACATTATTTTGTAAAACATGTTGCTGAAACTTTATATTGATTGTTTCTAATGGATTTATGCGTTCATGTACTGACATGTGAGTATAGCTTGATTAAAGTAGGGCTTGGAATTTAAATTTCAGTTTACTTTAGAGCTATAGAATATCAGCATCAAGTCTTGAACCAAAGCGATAGATCTGGGTGGTAACAGGCCTAGAGGTGGTCATCAGTGTAATAGTTTAAATTGATAAAGGTTTTATTAGTTTAATTTTCTTCTGCGAAGCTGATCTATGGTTTGATGATTCATTTGAAAAGTTAAATCTGTAATAACGGGGATCCACAGATGTATTGAATTTACGAAGTAGACTGGTTGTAGTTGATAGAGTGTCTGTATGTGTAATAAGGTTCAATAGGATTGATTGATATAATGGCTATTCGTATAATATGAGGCTTCCCATAGGATATCACTTTAGTTTAAAAATCCGAGTTTTTCCGTAGAAGAGATTGATTTATATTATAATCATTTAAGGTATGGTCTGCAATAGTATTTGTTCTTGGTGGCTCTTTTTTTTTCCTTTAAATTTTTCGGAAAGCATGCTGGTTGTCTAAATTATGATCATGTTTAATACTCTATGAGAATTATTGGGTCACATTTTTTTAAAGAGATTTTCGGGTCCAAGTTGTTTGTAAAATGGACAGAGTCAATGACTCTGTAAACAATAGGCTAAGCCGGTTTGAAATAATCCAACGTTATGAACTCAATAGGCATGGGATCAATCAGATCCCACGTAATTGAGTTGTTTCATTGGTAATCTCTTAAATCCCTTGTTTCTCTTCGCAATAGGCAGTCATATAATGCTAAATAATTCGGGAAAGAGTATCTGCATCATTTAGTCCAACACAGTATCACGTTTGCATCTTGTGAACATAATTAGGAGTGGCCATTTGTAAATTTGTTTAATCAAAGGAACTTTTACATTCCTATCCCATTTATGAAACCTTTTTACCCTACATGTTTAAGATTTGAGTAAATTACATTTAGTATACTAAATTACCATTTATATACCATAATTTAAAAAAGAGATATAATTAATAGGCATTTATATGAGGCATAATTATAGGACTTCCCACGTTTCTCTTCCCTTTCAGTTCAACCCCACCCCCTCCGCACGTTACCCCTAACTCCCCCCTCCCCCCACGTTTTACCTTCACTCCCCCACATTCTGCGTATGTTTTCTTCTTTACAGAACAAAAGTTACCCACATTCTTCATTTTTCTCCATTTAAATTCTTATTCTTCAAAATTCTTTCCCATTTTTAGTCAAGTTTAAGTTAAACTATGAGGAACATCAAATCTCCCAAAAAAAATACTTAGAAAAGCGACAGTAGGTGATATCCCCTCTTTCGATTTGGGTGTTTTAACACCAAAATCACCACAAAAATTCCTAAAATCTACACATGCAATGGAACCTACTACTCACAGTTCATCTCCTAGACAAATCCGTGCCGAGAATAGAACAAAGCATTTGCACGATGTCGATGCTGGAGGCAGTGGTACACCAGGCGGCAAACAACTCAAAAGAAAGGGTAAAGAGCTTTGTGTAGATGACGACTTTGTTGATGATGTCCCTAAAATTCCAAGAGTGAAAAAACCCAAGTTGTCTCCTACTTCCTCAAAGCAAAAATCGAAGAAACAGTCCAAAAATCTCCCCAAATTGGTTCAAAAAAAAAAAATTTGGCGAAGGTAAACATTTATTATTTTCGTTTCCAGTTTTGTAATTTTGTTTTGGATGTCAAAATCTCTGTTTTAAGTGTTTTGGTAAATTGTAGATTAGTTGTCTTAATTTTTGTAGATTAATTGTAGTTGTGATTTTCTACAGTTTACAATTGTAGTTATTTTGTAGTTGTCTTGTATTGCAATTGTCGTTAGCTTTTAAATTTTGAAACGGAGATGTAGTTACTTTCTTCTTCCTGCATTTTTGTAGATAATTTTTATATCTGTAGATGTCTTGTAGTTTTTTGTAGTTATATGTGTGGGTAGGCTGTATTTTTTTGAAGCAATTATGTATGTATTTTTTCTTCCTCATTTGTTTTTAGCTATTTGCGTAGTGATGGTGTAGTTATATGTAGATAATATGTAGATTAATGCTTCATTTTTATGCATTTTACTAATGTGAACTAATTTATCATTTTCTGCGGCATGGACATTATTTTGCGCCACATAATGTGGATTATGGTGTGCTTAGATTCCACACTTTGTGTGATCCTAGCATTCCTAGCCAGATAAAAGAGTTATTGTCTCCAAATGCTTAAAGCTTTTTAAAAACACTTGTTTTGGTTACTTACTGTCTCTCCCCTCCATTTGCATACAAAACCAAGCTATTCATCTCCTCATGAAGTATGAACTGTCTAAGTCTAATGAATCATTTTTTTTCAGTCAACTTGAAGGGTGAAAAATTGAATTTTTCATTGAGAGAGTTTGGTTTAATTACTGGTTTAATGTGTGAATCAGTTTTCAGATTATAGATACACTTCTAGTTATGTTAGCAAGTTAATGAATAGCTATTTTCCTAACAAAAAAAGAGTAGAGAAGTGGTATTTGAAAAATATAGTGACAAATAGTTCTTGGGTAAACGATGAGGATGCAGTCAAGTTGTGCATTCTTTATCTTTTGGAATTTTTTGTTTGCCCTTCTGACAAAGATCATGTGTCTTTTATAGACAACTTTAGGTTCTATTTGGTAGAGTCTGGTCAGTTTGAGTCATACCCATGGGGTATTAAATCGTTCAATCAGGTTATGGAATCCGTTAGGCATCGTCTAAATCCCCGTGTACATTCTTATCTCATACGGGGATGCTCATTAGCCTTGCAAGTGTGGCTTTATGAGTGTTGCTCGACCGTCAGCACGGAGCTTGCTACAAGGTCTTCTGACTCAATACCTCGCATATTAAGATGGTCAGCTACTAAGGGGCAGATTTGGTTAACTGCCTTTGAAGAGAAGATGGTCAAGCCTGAGTGGATTAAGGTATTTTTTTTAGTTTTGGTTACTGTCTACATTTACCTTCATAATATCTACAAATAGTCTACATTTTCTTCTTTAGTGGAACTAACTGTTTTCTTTTACATAATTCAGTTCACAAGCATGACTGAATCTGGAGAAGAGATTGGAGTGCTTACTCTGCCAAACAAGATTGAGTATGAAGATGAACAAGGTGCACAATCATCAGAGGTTCCAAATGTTGATTCTCCAACATTGGAACCCAAACATACAGATTGTCAAGAGGACAAGGAATCTGTGGCTAAGAAGCTCAGGAAGCTGGAAAAGGGAATTCAGCAGGTAATATTATTAACTACAATATATTTACATATTAGCTACAATTTATCTACATTTCACAACAGTTTATGTAGTATATATTGTAGTTAAATTGTAGTATAAATCTATAATTCTATTTTTTTTACTTTTAGGTTGATGGAAAGTTAGAGGATTTTAGGAAGGCTGTATTTGAGGAACTCCATAACCTTAGAGTGTTTATAGATGAAACTGTGAAGAGTGTTTTGAAATTGATAAACAGGAGATATGATGTGGATGAGGCAAAGGTAAGAGTTGACATATATTTATATACCAAAACAAATTATGACATATGAAACAATATACTCAAACTAACATTAAATCTTTAGTTTGCTGGTAGTTCAATGTAACGACCCGATCGTTCGTTCTGAGAGTTATAGCCACATTTCCTCCATCTATGCTTATTTATATGTTGTTCAGCTGTGTTGAGTTGTATCGAGTTGGTAGGTTTGGGTTCGGAGTAGTTTTGGAGTGAAATGAACACTTAGTCTCTCAATTAGAAAGCTAAGTTAGAAAAGTCAACCGGAAGTTGACTTATGAGTAAAAGAATTCGAATTTGGATTTTTATGATTCGATTAGCTTCGTTGGGTGATTTTATACTTAGGAGTGTGTCCGGAATATAATTTGGAGGTCCGTGGTAGAATTAGGCTTGAATTGGCAAAAGTTGAAAGTTTAGAAGTTCTTAGGCTTGAATTCGAGGTTGATTTGGTATTTTGGTGTTGTTTTGGGTGTTTCGGAGGTTTGACTAAGTTCGGGTAGCGATATATGACTTGTTGAGGTCCCGAGGGTCTCGGATGAGTTTTGAATAGGTTTGGGTTGTGTTGCGCTCGTTTTTCTTATGTTTCGACGCCGTTTCTTCAAGCATAAATGATATCATATTGAACAAATGAGCTCCGATTTCTTTTTTGATTGAAGCATTAGATCCGTATTGTAATTACGGACCTGTAGCAAAAAGAATCATCGAATTTGGACATCGTATGAGTATTTTATGGTCATTTTAGTAAAAATTAGGTTGCCAGATTTTTTCAGAGTAATTACGAAATTGCCACTAGCAGCGTATTTAAAAATCTGCACTATTT